TCATTTTAGTTGCCAATCCATTCTTTAATTGATTAAGTCCAAGGTGAGTGTCCTCTAATGAAAGAGGTGTCAACTATGGGATGACTTAAGGCAAGAGAGAGGTCATGTTATTGGTTAGTAGAAACCCCCAAAATAGGATTAAAACCATTAAGCACGAACCTCGATCTCAAGCTTAAACACAACCCTAAGGCTAACCAACCCTCAAAGCAAATGAAAAAGTGAAGAAATGAAGGAGGTTGTAGATATTCAAGTGCTGGAATTAAGCATGAAAAAGCATTAAAACATGTAACCAAGACACACAAATGATGGTTAAAGCCTTAAAACACTAAGCTAGTGAATGAATTAATACTACAATTATGCAAGGCAAAGCTCAAGGGACTTAACCAGCCCCAAACAGAGGTAAAACAGTCCAAAATATGGCTTAAAACATTCTAAAATTAAGCTAACACAAGCTAGAATAATAGGCTAAAACATAAAGCATGCTAGACTAGTAAGCAAGACACAAGGAGGGGAGGCTAACCCCTCCAATTTTGGACCTCGAAACATGTTTTTAGCCACTGAAATAGCTTTGAAAAATAGTGTTTGAAAGCTCTGAAAAAGATGATGTAAGGGTGGGAAACATAAGGGTAAAGGCCTCCAAAACAAGGTACAAAGAAAAGCTATCAACCCCTCAACCTTTAATGGCCTTTGGACCCAAGCTTCAGCCAAAAAACACAGAGTTTTTATAGCCCAAAATCAGTTGAAAGACATGCTAGAATGAAGACAAAACTAGCTAAGACAATAAGCTAAAACATGGGGTTACACTACAACCATGCAAAAGACTACTCATTCAACACAAACAGCTTAAAACAGAGCTAAAGCAGCCCAAATTAGAGGCAAAAACATGCTGGAAATAAGCTAAATTAAGCTACAAAAACATGCTAACATGTGAAGCTTGCTAGGCATGAAAGCTAGACACAAGGAGGGGAGGATAACCCCTCCAAATTTGGACCTCAAAACAAAGTTTTTACCACTAAAAAACCTCTGAATTCCAGTGGTTAAAAGGCCAAAAGAGTTGGTTTGAAAGTGATGAAAAGATTGCACAAAAGCTTAACAAGCAAAGAGACAAGAATGGTGGACCACCCCCAAACTCAAAATAGCCTCAAACCACCGTGTTTAAGCCTCAAAAATAGAGGTTTTTTTAGTTGAAAACCAGGCCAAAAATAGTACAAAAAGATGATAAAACAAGTGTGCAAAACAAACTTTAAAGGGTGAAGGTTGTACCTCTTGAAGCACAACACAATTTTAGGCAACTAAACCAAGAAAAATCACTTTCAAGAGCTCCAAGAAGACCTCTTAGAACCTCAGCTCAAAGATAACCAACTTTGGTCAAGGATGTATAGGCAAAGGAGAAGTGTATCTCTACTTGTATGCACAAAGGTTCAAGAGAGAGAGAAAGAATTGTAGAGAGAGAGAGGCTCCCAAAATATTTCACTCCTAAAATGTTCTAACCTCCAAAACAATAGAGAAGGCTCTCTATATATATAGAAAAATGAGGCTTCAGGTCGAAAATATCTCAAAAGGGACAGCTGGAACAGTTGGAAGATAAATATCTGCAAAAAATCTAATTTTTACACCAATGGCCGGCAAGGGATCACTGATGGCTGGCAAAGGTCCATTTCTGGCCGGCAAGGCGCACTCTTGGATGGCACATGGCCAGAAAATTCCATTCATGGCCGGTACATGGCCAGAAAACGCCATCCATGGCTAGCAACCTCCACCACTGGTTGGCCAGAAAAATCTATTTTTTGGGCCCAACTTCAAATGGGAATATCTCCTTCATATGGACTCCTTTGTAGGTCATTCTTGAGCCTAAATTGAATCCTTGGAAGTTTTATTTCCAATGGTGGCAGCCTCACATCAAAATTCCAAGTGTACAAAAAGATATGCCTCTTTTAGTGAAGACTGCTCAGTTTCGATCCTACCCGGATTCAACTTCTCCAACTTGGTTTCTTCTCTCCACTCTAATTTTCTTCAAATCCAAACCTCTAAACAAGATGTTTTGAAATATTTTTCAAAGAGTTCACCTCTCTTTCATTTATTTCCACTTTGTCCTTGCTCGGTTTATTGAAAAGCGCAACATTTAATGAAATGCGAGCCTCGGAACATCAAAAGCGCAACATTTAACGAAATGCGAGCCTCGGAACATCGTAGGAATTTTTTTCAAAAATATTTTGAAAGAGAGAGTTTTAAGGTCTAAAATCATTCAAAATAGTTTTGGTCCAAAGTAGGGTGTAAGGTTGGGGTTTGAAGCTCCTCTTGCCGAAGAAATCCAACCTTTGCACAACATAACCTTCACCATCAAGTACGCAATCAGTGGCGCCCAAGTCTTAAGGGCAGTAAAAAATGGGGTGTTTACACTTAGTATTTTTTTATTTTTATTTTTTACTTTTACATGTTGGGCATTTTTTTTTTTGAACATTAATGTTCAATGTTTTTGCATTTTTTTTGTTAAAAATCATAGTTTTACTTGTTTTAATATTTTATATTTATTTCATAGGGTAATAATTTAACAATCCCCACACTAACAACTTCATCAAAATAAACACAATTTTACTTAATTCCTTTACAATCAATCCCCTTACTAACAATTCCCTCCATAGCGATGACGATTATTTTCTCCTTGTACAGATTTGAATACCTCAATAAACCACTTTTCATAATAAATGAAATATTATAAATGGCTATTCCATCAGACAAAAAGGTATTGTTGGGCTTTGTGCGCCTACTTTTGGGTCATGTTTCGATTATTTAAATCGTTCATATTTTAAAATTTATTGAGTATATCATTCCTTATAAAAAAATCAAACAGATCGGATAACGACAATCATATGTTTGGATTAGTTTTGTTGAAAAAAAAAGAATAGCGAGGAAATATGTGGTTCATATAAAATTGATCTGAACACATATTTTATGTTATCCGATCAATTTGATTTTTTGCAGAGATAATATAGTTGACAAACCCTAAAATGTGAACAGTTCGATTTATTGAAACAGGGCCTAAAAATAAATCCACCGAACTAGACTAAATAGTCCAGTTCGATTACGGACTGGAGATAGTCCCCAATCCCAATATTAATTACCAATTGAAACAAAAATTCTCCCAAACTTGTTAATTAGCTCAAACTACCCAAAAAATAAATTTAAAAACTTCTGTCTTTAAATCTTTTTGCTCCTATGTTTGAAGACATTCAAAAATTTTAATTCTTTAATTATTTTAAGTGTTTTGAGATAGAGAAATAAAAATAATTGATAACAGAGAATCTTTAACTACTTACATATTTTGAAAATAAAAATATTAGAGTTATTGATCATTAGTTATAGTAAGTCATAAGTAATACTACTTGTCCCATAAAAAAAAAATTATTAGTGTAATTGAATATCATTTTAGTTATAATTAATTGATCGCAATGAGTTATAAATGACATCACCTTAAATATAATCAAACATAATAAAAAGACGTACTAATTTTGATTTGATAATTTATTGATTCTACCACCATAATGAAGCATAATCAAAGAACATCTCAAAAATTCACAACCAACATTAATTTAAGAAGAAGATTAGGAACAAATAAACCGATCCCACATGAATACAATCCTTACACATGAGACATTTTGTACTTTTTTGCGAATCCCACACTCGTATAAACCGGTTACACCCAATTTTTGTATAAATAAATGAACAGTTAATTTAAACCATAACTTACATATATACCGCCACGGAACACCACAAAAATTTATAACCAACCCTAATTTAAACCCTAACTTAGCATAAACCTAGACTATAAATAAGGTATTTAGGAAAACTATCTTGGTTTATCAATAAAAGAACCGCGGGTTGATATCAATACTCAAACAGTATGTACTTGTTACATTGAAAAAGTTTGCTTGAAATTACTAAAGCACAATTTTGAGATGCAAAAAACATCATTCAGTAAAAGAAATATTAATTCATTCCTTATCATTATATTAAATAATTTTACTGAAATAATCTGCCATGATTTTGATTCTAGTATAAACTTGCTCTGATACCACATGCAAGAATATAGGATCTATATACTAGAAATCAAAACACTATGAATGTAATTAACTACTAAAATATAAACTTGGATACATACCGTTTGATTATATTATTGTCTTGAGTTTTGCTTCTTTGAAAGATGATGGTATTCACAATCGGAAAACCTTAGCACCAGCTCTTCCCCTCCTTCTCCTAATCTTTATGTTGTCTTTCAATGGGGCTGACAACCCTTTGATCTACATATATATATAGATATATGTAAACCCTAATAAGGATAGGAGAGGGGACTGGGCCTAAATAAAACAATTACTGGGCCCTCCCATTAAGGAACCCAAATAACTTAAAACAGGCCTTACACCTCCATATCACATATCCGCATATAAAATAATATATACACTAAGATGACCATGGCCCAAACTTTATGGATCACAATAATAATTTTGGGCTCATACCAGTCAATCTATCTGAATCACGTTCAATCCTTTTTTCACAAACCAAACAAAATATAGTCAATGACAGCCTAATTAAGAATAAATTCTTACATCCCACACTCGTATAAACCGGTTACACCCAATTTTTGTATAAATAAATGAACAGTTAATTTAAACCATAACTTACATATATACCGCCACGGAACACCACAAAAATTTATAACCAACCCTAATTTAAACCCTAACTTAGCATAAACCTAGACTATAAATAAGGTATTTAGGAAAACTATCTTGGTTTATCAATAAAAGAACCGCGGGTTGAGAGGTGAACTAAAGTTAACATTCCTCAGGCACATCCCATCTTGTCAGCAATGGCAGAGGCAATCACTAAAACAAAGAGGTGTATTTTTGCTTCTTTTGTAGCATTTGAATTCTCTTTCAGTCACTCTCATTCTAGCTTCAACTTTCACACCCACCAACTGTTTGTGTCACGTCTATGTGTAGTAGGTATGCAGTTGTAATAGGGTTAAATAAAGGAACAGGGTTTGAGATATGTAGGCAATTAGCTTCTAAGGGAATCATAGTGGTGTTGACTACTAGAGATGAGAAGAAAGGCTTTGAAGCCCTTGAGAAACTTAAAAGTGATGGCCTCTCTGATCATGTGGGTCAACTTGATGTTGTGGACCCATCTAGTGTTGCTTCCCTTGCTGATTTTATCAAGTCCAAATTTGGAAGGCATGATATCTTGGTATTCACAACCCAATTCTCAATTTTTTCTATTTTTATTCATTTAATTTATAAGTATCAGTACTTTTTGTGCAGTCTCAGTCATCAGCGATGAGCTTACCTCAATTGTAAATTTTATAATTAGAATTACTGTTTTGATGAACTTTGGCAATACATGTTTGGTTGTCTTGATAGAATGGAAACAATATGATTATATTATTCAACAAGCACTACAAGAATTTACACTTTTGGCGACTAAATTTTTAGTCGCCAAAACTATTTAGCGACTAAATTTTTTGGTCGCAAGAGAAGTCGCTGAAGGATTGTCGGGAAATGTATTTGGCAACTAAAACTATTTTAGTTGCCAAATGTACTAAAATGTCGACTAATTTTTTAGTTGCCAAAAGTATTGAAAAAAAATTAAATATAACCTTTTCAACGACTGAAATTATTTTGTCGCAAAAAACCTTACTTATAGCTAAAGATTTAGTCGCCAAAATTATTTTGGTTCCTCCTATTATTTTTTTAGCTACTAAATATATTAGTCGCCTAAAGTGTGATTGTGTTTTAGCTACTAAAAGTTTAGTCACCTAAAGTCTCATATTTTTCGCTACTAAACTTTTAGTCGGCAATAGGGTTGTTGTTTTTGTTCATCAAAATTTTTTTGGCCACAAAATTGTATTTGGCAACTAAAACTATTTTAGTTGCCAAATGTACTAAAATGTCGACTAATTTTTTAGTTGCCAAAAGTATTGAAAAAAAATTAAATATAACCTTTTCAACGACTGAAATTATTTTGTCGCAAAAAACCTTACTTATAGCTAAAGATTTAGTCGCCAAAATTATTTTGGTTCCTCCTATTATTTTTTTAGCTACTAAATATATTAGTCGCCTAAAGTGTGATTTTGTTTTAGCTACTAAAAGTTTAGTCACCTAAAGTCTCATATTTTTCGCTACTAAACTTTTAGTCGGCAATAGGGTTGTTGTTTTTGTTCATCAAAATTTTTTTGGCCACAAAATTGTCATCCCCTGAAATATGCCATAAACTGATTCCCAACATTATATACATAATGACATAACAAAATAGTAATCTTTCGTTAATCAGAGTTGTTATACAAGAGGTGACACGTGCATTATACATTCATAAATGTTCATCCTGAATCTACAACATGTGTTACAAGTAGTAATAAGAAATAAAAGTTAAACAGATATTTCATATGTCTTACAGACTTACATCTTTCCAAGACTATGCTTGGTTACAACAAAGTGAGTCAGAAGCTCAATGCAAATAAAGGCCTAGGCTTGTACAAAAGTTATACACAAAATAAACAAAAATGAGCCTTCAACTCCACAGTCCTCCCAAGCTAAGCCCTTGGCGGAGGTATATCACCAGCACCTGAAAATAGTTTTTCCCAAGTAGGGTGAGCCAAAGCCCAGTAGAAACAATCTAACACAATGTATGAATCTTAACAAAGATATAAGCATGATGTGCATGTACAATGCCTGTGATAAAATCATTTATAATTTACAAGGTCATGATATGCCCAGTTTTATATCTTATTTTATTGTTCATATCCATTTCATTCAATCAACCAATACTGAGGATACAACTCATTGGGTCTCAAATTGATATAGTTATCAAACAAACTCATTCATTTGTCATTTTGCAAAAATTTCGTCCACGGGATTGGCACCTATGTGTGCAAAAGGTTTTCGGGACTTTTACCCTGGAAATTGATATATCGAAATGAAGGATTTGTTCTAGAAATTGTTGTTAAATATATGATGATATATGGTTGTGAGATGACAAAATTGTTGAGCACTATGGATTTGTGAGAATTATAAATATTGGAAATTAATGTTTGAAAACACTACATGTTGTCTTGAAGAGACTAAATTGTTAAGGCTTGTGAAATGAGAAATAGTAACTATGTGTTGATGTCATATGATTATCTTGTGGGAGAACATTGAAAAGAGGAAATGGGAAATATGAGTGTGGACATTATTTTAGAGACACCTGAAAATGGAGATGTGTTATGAGGTATGGAAAGGTCATTGCATTGCATACTCATTCATTTATTTATTATGCATTGTGAATTTTAGATTGAAGATATTTACATCATGAAAGAAAATGGGATGGTAATAAGAACTATGGAAATGTGTTATGGGGTAAATATATTGGTAAGTCCAGATAAGGGTGTAGATGAGATTGATAAGTTGGCCTGAGTGTCCGGGGTGAAAGAGCGAAAACACGCGCAGAGGAGGTACCACTTCCCTTCCGGTTAGCAATCGGTTAAGCGGGGTTATTGGTAGTGCTTGTTGAGCCTACTTGCAGACACCAACCTAGGGACTACCTGTGCCGTATTTACCGTCTCTATTGATTAAAATTGGAAGTTTTGAAATTTGTTGAGATTGCAAACTTTTATTTAAAAATGGTGATCTTGAAGAAGAGCATGAAATGAAATTTTCTTTAAAAAGGGCATGGCATGGCGTTGACTTTTGCATTATTCATTGAGAATTGGCATAACTGTATATACTTTGTAAGAATTCCCTATTGGGCTTTATGCTCACCCCTATGGGACTTTGGTGCCGGTAAAGATGTAGTGATCCTGCCAAACTGAGGGCGTGGATATGATTTGGTGAAGAGTAGATTGCTCTCCTTTTTGTTGTGAATTTTGTTAAGCCAAGGGCTAAACGTGTGTGGGTTCGAGAGGCCCTTTTGTGTAACTGGGCTATTGCCTTGGAAGATGTAAGCCCTTAAGGGCATTTGTTTGTTTTGAGACTAGATGCTTCATATGCTATAGATTCAAGTGTTCTGTTTATCATTGAATGTATATCCGCATGTGGAACTTTTGTATAAAACCTTGGAGATTTATGATGTAAAGGTTTGGAGAATTGTTATATTTAATTTAATTAAAGTGGCTTGATGCATTGTACATGTTGGTTTTTTTTGTAGGCATTACAGATAACATATTGCATCATTAAATATTCTATTCGCTCCTCTCCTTGTTTTACATAATTAATGACTTTGTTAACAAATTAATGTCACATTTCTTTTCTCCTTTTATTTGTATAATGTCAAAACAATTCCAAGTTCTCCAAAACAATATTGTCAATATATGAAGTATTTTTGTAGAATTTTTACTATCGTATGAATGAAATTCCTCTTACCAAATAGGACGATGACCATCTGCACCTTGCAATAGAGTATTTTTGTAGAACTTTTACTATAATATGAATGAATTTTAAAACCAACACTTAACTGAAGAGCATGATTTTCAAAAGGTCAAATAAGGTAGCAAATTTCAATTTGCAAGCCAAATTAAATATTTACACAAGAAGAATGATGGCTTGATTGCAAACCTTAAAGGTTCTAATGGTATATTTACACTAACTTGGACTTGTAATTAATATAAGTAGATGTGTAATTTATGCTCTAATCATTCAGATATTTACCACACTTCAGTACTCTCACAAATTTACACACTTAAAAAATATCAATTCAACTTTCCACAACCAGTAGAATTTCAGTCCCACCCACTATAACATGATAAGTTTTTGGATTCTTAGTTTTGAGCTTGAATTTGGGATTTATGTCTAGAAATCAAACCCTATAGCAAGTGTGAGAAATCAACAGTAGAGTAAGTGTGACAAATCAACACAAAATGAACACAAAATTTGGGATTTTGAGTTAAGAAATCAACCCTTAATTTCCTTCTCTGTTTTTTTATGTTGGTAGAGTAAGGACCCAAACCCTACACAAATCATAACAATAAAGCCAATTTAATAGACACCCAACAACATACTAAGAACAACAGAAGGCAAAGAAAAAGCTATAAGTAGTTGGTAATGCTCAATGAGCATCATTTCCATATATTTCCCTACTTAATTTCATACATTTTCTTACTTTTAAACTAGTTGACAACATAAGGGAAAACAAACAAGCCCTACTATTGATGAAAAATCATATAAAGATATGAAGGCCTATTATTGAATAACAAACAGGCAACAACACAACCCAAACATGTACCAAAAATTGAAATATTAATCATTGTGAAACAATTTGCCTCAAAATATATTGCCTTTGTATATTTCAAATGGCAACATTAGGGCAAATAGAAAAGCCCTACTATTGATGGAAAAGCATATGAAGATTTGAATAATGAAGAAATACCACACAAAAATCTATGAAAAATCTGAATAATAATCACTCTGAAATAATAGGTACGATTTCTTATGTATATTTCAATACTTGAGAACAAATCCAAATAAAGCAATGAAATCAAAATACAGATTTCATTCTCTTAATTTAGTTTTCTATGTAACCAAACAAATGATAAGAAAATAACAGACATCGAAATAGGAAGTGAAATTAGGGTTTTAAAAGGGAAGAGACTGTACATAAGTTTTGAGAAGAGCGATGTCGTCTTCATCAAGATGATGAGGGAAGACAAGAGGACGATATAAGTTTGAGATCCAAATACAGATTTTGAGTTAAGAAATCAACACACAATTAAACAAAAAAAATCATATAAAACCCTAGAGCAAGTGTGAGAAATAGGGAAATAGAGGAAGGGTGGGAGAGAGAGAGAGAGAGAGAGAAATACCTGTGATTCAGTGGTGGTGGTGATTTGCAATAGTGCCGATGGCGACCAGCGACGGTGGTGAGCGGTAGTGAGGTTTGGTAGTGTCAACAGAGAGCCAAAAGTGTTTGATACAGAATAGAGTGTATATCGTGTGTGTGTGAGAGAGATATAACAGAGCCAAAAGTGTGTGTGAACAGAGTGTATATCGAGCGCCAAAGTTAATTCGTTTCCCTCTTAAAAAAAATTCAATCTTTAGCGACTAAACTTTTGTTTTGTCGCCAAATCATAATGAATAACGACTAAATATTTTGTAATGAAAGATTGAGTACTAGCGACTAATATATTGGTAACCAAAAGTATCATTTGGCTACTATTTTTTTTTTTTTGTCAGCAAAAATTTAATATATGACGACTAAATTTTTTTAGTCACCAAAAGGTCTACAAATGTCCATATTATTTGGTGACTAAGCTATCTTTTTGTCAGCAAATAATTGTATGCGGCGACTAAACCGAGAATTAGTAGCCTAAAATATAGACTTTTGGTGACTAATATTATTTTAGTAGCCTATTACTATATATTTAGTGACTAATTTTTTTTTAGTCGCCAAAAAACAATATATCTTGACTAAAATAACATGGTAGCTAAACCGTGAACCTATGGCGACTAAAACGAAATTAGTCGCCAAAAGGTATATTTTTGGTGACTAAATTTGTTTTGATCGCCAAATGTGTGTTTTGTTGTAGTGAAGAAAACTAGTTGTGTTTCTTTCTTGTCATCGATTGCATGATTGGTGAAAATATGGAATGAACTATGCATTACTTATTGGTGAGAAGCATATATATATATACTCACACACTAAAGAGATAAGGCCTTCAATCAAATTTCTAGAAAGATCTATTACTCGTTTCCATGAATGCTTCAGTGATTTTTTGTGAAGTAAATAATGAAAAAGCTTGAATTCTTGTAGGTGAACAATGCTAGGATTCTTGGAACCAAGATGGATTGGGATTCTTTGCAGTCATTAGAGGGTAGTTGGGTGAGTCTTTATGCATGATTCATTTCATTTGCCCTTAAGTAAATTCAAATTGCTATGATTCCATTAATGCATACCATGTAATGGCCTTTGATATTCTATTTTTCTTTCTTTGTTTCACAAAGTTGCATGTTTTTTTTATGAAAAGGTCGTGATCTATACCTAATCTTTAAATTTCATGGAGATCACTATTACTATTACACGATTCCACATAGAAAAGCAAAAGAGCAAAAGTGCACTTTTTATTAAATGTATATATATATACATTTATATATTTGGACAAGGTTTTCCTACATTCTGTGACAGGAAAACCTTTTGTTGCCTCATATGTGACAACCTCTAAGATGATTCATGCGCATAATTTACGTGATCAAAAGATCCCAAAAGTCATCATACTCCTTTTCAATAATTATTTCATGTTGTTTTTAAAAAAAAACGAGACATTATATTTTGGAGAAAGAAAAAAATGGTTGAAGAGAGTGGAGAGTGCTCAGAGTTTAGTTTATAAGCTGGGTCAAAATCACCTCAATTGGCTTCTAATTTCATGCTTTGGTAATTAAACCTAAAAATTAAAACATGCTTTTTAGGTAATGGTTAATAGAAACGACAAGGATTATAACTGAATGATTTCATTAATGTATGAAAAAGTTGTAAGCTCATGGAAAAAAGTAATGACTCAAAGCTACGAGTTGGGCAACAGATGCTTGCAAACGAACTACTACTGCACAAAAAGGATGATTGAAGCACTCATTCCTCTCCTCCAGCTCTCTGATTCACCAAGGATCGTAAATGTCTCTTCAGCCTTGGGGAAGCTAGAGGTATAAAAGTAACCATACCCTCCCTCACAAGTACAAAACTTGCACTCTAATTAAAACAAACTTACACAGCCTTACTAGCTTTCAATTTTGGATTAAAATTCAGATGTTGAACTGAAAGAAAAAGTTTAACTATCTCTTACCAAAAGTAATTATCAACATTGTATTGTTGTTAGGTTAGGGCGGTTCTGTCTAGTCAAGACACATGGGTGACGCCACTCAATGATTAGTGGTGTCCGCTGAACCCCCTTCAAAAAATATTTTTTGAAACCATATATATACTTGTTTCTTTCAAAGTTATAATACAATTGTCACCACTAGAAAAATTGTTTTGAACTCCCATATAACTTTTAAAAATGTGTTCCTTTACTTTTAAAAATGTCTCGGCATCTATGAAATTTTTTCCTTCTCTCTTGTTTGCAAAATACTCGATTTTTATATGGTCTCATGATGAAATTAAAGGGAGTTAAGCATAGTGGAGATTTGTATTGTGTAGTCTATATGTTTCCTTTCTCATGGATGTGGAGGTTCTGTTTTCATATTTTCAAATTTATTGTTGCCAATTATAGTTGATCTTAGTTTTTGTAACGCCCCAAAAATATATACATTTGATAAACCCAATTTAACTCAAGATGATCTAATTCTCAATTATTCCATCATTAACATGAGAGAGAGAATGATAAATATTACATTCATTAATGTAAGGACCAAAACCCCTTTCTTTTCTATTAATGACTTTCTAGTAAGAATCATAAAAGAAATCACATGCATTCATACATTCACTCTTTCTAAAATATAAATCTATGGCATGTGATGATAGAAATTTAAAGCAAGCTAAGTACAAAATAATACCCTATTGGCTATAAGTTCTAAGGCCTTGCTCGATTATACAATAATGGTGTTCACACCCAAACACGATTAGCCCTTGGCTTACAAAAAGAAGACAAATAAAAGCCGAGCTTCGTGCTCTAAAAGTTCCTTCTTGCCTTCACTTTGACAAAGGCACATCGCAATCACCTAAAAATGGTTTCCACTAAGGGATGAGCATAAAGCTCAGCAGAGATAATCTAAATAAAGTGCATGCAGTTTAACAATATCATGAGGTGTAATGCATATGGGATGCCAATGCCAAAAATCATAGGTTTTCTCATTTTGAAACTCTCATGCCATGCACTTGCTCAACAGCATAACCAATTCAATTATCCATTTCATAGGACAAAGGGCGGTAAATACGACACTGGAAATCCCTTGGCTGGTGCCTACAAGTAGGCATAACTAGCATTACCAATCTCCACTTTACCGGCTCCTAACCGGAAGGCACGTGGTACCTACTCCGTGCGTGTTTTCGATCTTTCACCTTGGACACTCAGGCCAACTTAAACAATACCAGTCTACACCCCCTATTCGGATTTACCAAATGTATTTACACTACAAGGAATTAGTTATTTAGAGACTAAATTTTAGAGACCAATTCAATTTGGTCCCTAAAAACAATCTTTTAGAGACGAAAACATAACTTGTGATATTCTTTAATTATGAGCTCAAACACTCATTTGCCCTAATTTTGCAGTTCTCTCTCTCTCTCTCTCTCTCTCTCTCTCTCTCTCTCTTTCTCTCTCTCGTTTGAAGCTCAATGTGAGAAAATGGATCATGAAAATTGATTTATCATACTCGTTAACAGTAGATCTATCGAACATACGAGATGTTAAGTTTCAATCAGGTAGATCTATCATTTTTCACACACACACACACACACACACACACACATACATACACACACAGATCATGAAGTCTATGGGTTTGATTCTTCATCTTCTTTATATTTTTTATTTTTATTTTTTTTGTCGATTTGAGATCTAAAGCTTCTTTCACAATAGATCCATCATTTCTTTCAATTTATTTTTTTATTTTTTTTTATAGACGTGGTGCATCTCTCACTCTCTCTACCTCATATGTATGTGTATCTATAGATCTATGAAGAAAACAATTTATGATTGTAAGTTATCTGTCTTTTTATTATTATTTTAATTTTATTATTAATTTTACTATTATTTTAGTTATCTAATCTTTTAATTATTGTTGCTGTTATTATTTTAATTTTAATTTATTGTTAATCTTATTATTCTGTTAATTTTTATTTGTTCTTGTCCCTGTCTTGCTTGCTTTTGCCCTTTTGGTATCAGAGCCCTTTACTTGTCAGTCCATTACTCCAATGCCTCCTAATCATCCATACAGAACTTGAAGAACAGATTATGTTCTTAAACCCCAACCAGTCCATCTTTTCTACAAAGAATCAGTCCATAAAAATATTCACAATGTCAATGAACTAGTTACCTCATATTCCTCTTTTGGATGGCATTTCATTCCATCCCATCTGGAAAAGTCAATTACTTTTCATAAAGACATCCTCTTCATTACCAGTCCATAGTCATCAAACCCATCTATGACTGAGTCAATGCTAGTAAAATCATTTACCATTCTTTATACATACATAATATTGTATCCATAGAGGAGTGGGGTCTCCATTTTCTCCTTCGTGACCTTCCCAATCACAAGATACAATATAATTATTATGATTATATGGATGCCTGGTTTAAGATCATTCTCCACCAAAATGAGTCATACAGTCACTCCTGGTTCTTTTCTTTTGACCATAAATTCAAGTCAGAATTTCCTTCATGGTTTCTGAGATGGTGGTCTCAATATGGTGCCATCCCATAAATTATTCCAACTAATTTAATGGAACAAGTCTGCATAAATCCCAGTTTTGCCACTTCGCTGAGTATGTCGGGAATCGAGCAGTCCGGTCAGCTCGTGGGGGTCCAGGGGGTAGCTCTCCTTGGCGGGTCCTAGGGTAGCGCCCTGGCGGGGTTGAGGGGCAGCGCCCCTCGAAGCAAAAATGCAAAATGCATTAGAAGTTGCTTGTCCGCTTGAGTGGCCGTTTATGAGCTCGAGCGGAGAATGTTTGGTTCTAGAAGTTTGACATGTCTGCAAAAGTACTGGAAAAGTGTATTTGATGCTCGAGCGAGGCTTTCCACGCTCGAGCGGACCATGTTATATCAGTTCATGAATCTGATATTTTAGATCACTTTTGTATCTCTCTCTCTCTCTCTAAAAACCCTTTCCTATCCCTTCTCTCTACATTTCCCTACGCCAAATTGGATTAAAACCTTGATTTCTCAAGATCCATTAGAGTTCTGCCATAGGTTCTTCATCAAAGTTGGTTAACTTCTTGAGGGCTTCGTTGTGTGTGGTGAAGATCGAGTTTCGACACCGTTGATTTTTGGGGTTTCATCTCATTTCTTCTTCAAAACTTGAGGTAGGGATTTTCTTAGAGTTATATATATATTTTTGCAAGATCTAGATGATTTTCGAAATCATCTTTCGATAGTTTTGAAAATTGATTATTGATTCAAGAAGTTGAGCGATTTTGAAAGTGAGTTTGTCTCTTATTCTTTTAAAATAATCTTATGGGTTTTGATCTTCGTTGATTGAAGAAAAGATGATTTTGAAAAGTTTTCTTTCAAAAGATTTGAGTTGCATTGTTTTGGTGAGAAAACCTAGAATTTGGGGAGTTTTTTTAAAGAGACTGAAAATCCATGAATGATATTGTTATATTTATTTTGTGTGTCAAAATAAACGGATGTTTGGAAAATTTCTTATTTATATTTATATAAATGACGAATTTCAGGGAATATGAGAATTGTTGTTCATTTTGAAAAATATTGTTCAAAACGTTGAAATAGTCTTGAATGACTAATTGTTGAGGATACTTGAGAAAATGAAATTGTGTTATTCCTTGGATGATGAATTGGAATAAAAATATTTATATTCATCTTGTGTTATTGGCATATCAATTCATTTGATTACATTAAACTTTGAAAGTTGATTTGAAAACTTGCATTGAGGAAAGAATGCTGAAAAACAAGTTATTATGGAATGGTTTTGGGGTAAATACGTTAGTAAGTCTTGATAGGTGGTGTAAATGATATTGAATAAGTTGGCTTGGGAGTCCGGGGTGAAAGACCGAAAACTCGTGCAGATAGGTGTTGAGCCTTCCGGTTAATACCGGTAAAAATGACAAATTGGTAGTACTTGTATAGTTTACTTGCAGACACCGACCTAGGGATTATCAGAGTTGTATTTACCGCCCTTAAAATAAATTGTTAAGTTTTAAACAGTTGAAATTGCATAATATCATTGAGCATGATGGTTTTCAAAAGATGAAAATGTGATTTATCTTCAAAAAGGGCATAGCATGGCATGTGCATTTCATCTCTTGAGACTTGTATAAAATGTATATACTTTGTTAAGAATTTCCTACTGGGCTTTATGCTCACCCTATGGGATTTTTGTGCATGAAAAGATGTGGTGATCCTACCCAACTAGGGGCGTAGAAGTATGTGTGTTGGGAGTACAATACTCTCATTTTGCTGTGACTCTGTGTGTAAGCCAAGGGTTGTGTTTGTGTGGGTTTGAATAACCGCTTTGTGCAACCAGGCTCAAGCCTTGGAAACTTGTAAACCCTTGAATGTATTTATTTGTTTATTTACTTGTTGTTGGATTAATGTATTGTTGCATGAAGAACTATTGTATCATGTAATGTAAGTTTGGAAATTTATATTCGGTTTTCTTTGAAAGAGCCATGATTGTTGTATTATCATTTGGACTAGAATTTTGGGGCGTTACAAAGTCAATTATTTCTTTTCAATTTATAAATTGAGTCAACATAAAAGTCAATTCCCTGTATTGCTCCATTTTATGTCCAAATATAAAGTCCCTTAGATATTTAAATGGCAATACAATATTTCCAACAACCTAGTCAGTCGCCAACATTTTTGTCAAATCGTGGGATGCTTTCAAAGTCCAATGCATTATTGAACAAGTCCAACAAGAATTCCTAATCAATGTTCATGCTCCTACTCCTGCAATGGTTAAATCTTCTCAGCAGAACCCAACTGCTTCAGTCACTTAAAAAAGCCCACTTCCTCTTACCACAGTCAGACTTGGGAGCCCAACAACCAGTTCTGGGCCTTCAAAATCCAAGTCATCCAAGTCAAAGCCCAAGTCCAAGACCAATAATGAAGAACTTATTCAGATTGCAAAGTTACTATTGGTCCAAGCTAAGTCACAAGATGAAGATGATGCTTCAGATGGTACGTTTTTCAAGGTCATTTAATTAAATTAAGGAAAAATTATTGGAAAGTCTATCCAAAGGTAAAATTTTGTTTGGTGATATGAACACGTCGGAAAAGGTTGCACAAGAAAATTGGATGGAAAAGTTACAGTTGCAGCTATTCAATAGAGTGATTGTTGAATGAGTGACGTGTAACATTTCAACAGATAATTAGTTTGATGAATTTTAAGAGATAGTTGTCTTTTTGAGCAAATTGTATCCATTTGGTCTAAGGAGATTAGAGCTTAGGTCTAATGGCTCAAAAGATTCAGAAATAGACTAATGGCCTAACTGTCCATTAATTAAGGGTTCATACGTATGTTTTATGAGACAACTAAGTGCCCCGTTTGGTAACTTGATTTTTTCAGTTATGTGATTCGTTTAGCTTTTTAATAAGTGAAAAAAAATTAGTATTTGGAATAATTTTTTAAGGTTGTTTTGGTAATAGGAGAAGATAGTTAAAAAATCTAAAAATTATTACAAAAAAAATTAATTATTTTCTTTATTTTTTTATTAGTCTTTTTAAATTTTCTTTAAAAATTAACTAAAATAGTCATTTCTTAAAACAATCTCAGTTGCATAAATAATTGTTTAAAAAAAAAAAGTGATTTAGAGAATATTCCTCCTGAAATGTGGCTGTGATTATTAGGGATATCAGATACATCGCCTCCCGTTGGCAACTCTTCTTTTCTTGGAGCCCTAGAGCTTCAAATATGATTGCACATTGGGTGGCAAAATCTGCTCTCAGTGGATGCTTGGGACCCAACTGGGTCTTTTCTCCTCCTTTTCCCTTGGCAGAGCTTGTTGCCTTGGACTGTTCCTTTCCTCCTGTCTAAAGCCTTGGGGCGTATTTTCCCGTTCCAAAAAAAAAAAAAAAATTTGATTAATTGATGTGTATGATGAAATATTTTAATATTTTCCCCTTCAAAAAAAAAAAAAAAAAAAAATTGATTAATTGATGTGTATGATGAAATATTTTAATATTTTAATTTTTGAATAAATTACAAATACACTTTTTGAGGTTTGTTTAAAATATGAATCATCTCCTGTGGTGTTAGAAATTACATTTTATCGTTTAAAATTTTTAATTTCATAATAAATAAATAGTTCTTTTATTAACAAATTATCAAGTTAATTAATAATTTACGTAATTTTATTATTGTATATGATAGAGTTAGAAATTTTATTTTTTCAATTAATTATATTAAATAATTTTTTTTACAAGTTCTTGTAATTTTTCAAATTATAGAAGATAATTTATCTTTTAAGCAAATTTTAACATGTATATTTATAATTTACTCATAACTTTTTTTTTTAATATAAAATTTTAATTATTTTAACCAAAAAATTGATTGCCAAATTGGGCGCGACGTATAATTTATCCATTACATGTCGTATGTGGCTGCCACCCGGTCATTAAAAGAAAAACGACATTTTTTTTTTGGTTCAAAATTAGACAGACGTTTGTTTTAAAATAATTGGAAAAAATTATTGCAAACATTTGAGGTTAAAGTGAGAGAAAATTATTGTAGGGTTTAAAGTGTAATTTTAGTGGAAAAAAAATCTCAAAACCTAAAAGCTTGTGACATAAGCGATGACGATTATTATTGGCCGACAAATTTGAATGGAAGTCTATGGACGACGGCTGGGGAAAAAATCTAAAAAATATCGCAAAACATCAAATCAATGGTTTATAATTGAAGTTATTATCATGAGATAACACCATCAATGAAAAAGCATGGTCATTTTAATTCGATATTTGGGATTTGTTCATATTCGTTTGAATCAGATGAATTTTATCTGTCCTGATATTTATGTGAGGTCGGGTAAATTATGTTTTGGTTACTTTGCAATGGGAGTGGAGTAAGGACATGTATTGTTATAATTTAAATTTGACCAGATATAATTAATAATATATATATATATATATATAATTAGATATAAAAAAATAATATGAAAAGTTTATAATTTTATTTAAATATAAACAAATAATAATATTAAAAGTCTCATTGTTTATATATATAAAAATAAAAAAAAATTATTTATTATGTTAAGGATTTAAATGGTTCTTAATTTTTTTGACTATCTAAAATATAGTTGGATATCTATGGATATCAAATATCCATGAGGGCGGAGCTAGAGTTGAAAAATTTCCCTCATAACGAGGGTGGAACGGGAGCAAGGATGGGAGCAGAGAACGACAAACTTGTTCCAAACCGCCGTGGCCATCCCTGTCAATGAATCTTCAACATTGATTTTAAATTCTGGGTCCTTTAGTGTTTTTATATTGAGGGGTGTTTTGGGAAACAAATAAAAAGCTAGCTTTTAGCTTTGAAGCCTGCTATTAGTACCTACATAATTTCTTTGGACCTTCTATTTCTTTGAACCTCTACCTAACTAAATGAGTCCCCTCTATTTTATCTTTAAACTCCTTCCACAATTCCAATTATACCCCCTCTCTACCACGCTCCTATCCTAACCACTGCCACCGTTCACCCTCCTCACCCCCAACGCCTGCCGTGCACCTTCTTGTCGAATTGCTGTTTGACCTCGCCGGCAGTGGTGAGGTCAACATTTGAAGCTTCCTTCTCTCTTGCTTTCATCTCTTCTTCCTCCTCGAGTCCCATAGCTTTTTCTTCTTGCTCCTCTGTTCTGTTCTATCTCTCTACTTTCTCTTTCTTATTTTTCTGTATCGAGACGGTTCTCCAGTGCATCGAAATCTCGGAATCTGTTTTCTGGCGATAGTATTAATTGAAGAGATCGAGAGAGAGTGGGCAACTCTGGGCATCTCTGGTCATCGAAGGACCATTTTTTTCTCTTTCTCAAAATCGATTCTTGCCTCAAATCATTCTGTTTATTGGATTCTTTTTCTATGACATACTTTTGATTTGTCTTTCAGTTATGTAAATATTGTTTCCGACCTTGTTTTCTTTAACTCAGAGCAAGCGCTTTTGTGAATTTTTGTTCCAAGTGAATGTAGAGCTTCAAGATGGAGAAGAAGATGAGGTGACCATGGTGGTGGTAGGGAACTGGCAGGAGGTGGTGGTGAAATGGGGGTGGTGACTGCCATAGGTAAGGGGATGGGATTAGAGTTAGGGTTAGGGTTAGGGAAATTAGATGCAAAGAGTTAAGGATGAAGGTAGAAATGAAATTTTATGTTTGGACAAAATTGGAATTAAAAAAAAAATGGAAGAAAGGGGGTGCTAAGAAAATAAGTAGGTGCTAATAGCAGCTCTCTTTAGCATTTTACTCATTTTGGGTTACATCACCTCTCACATTTTTTATTCATAAGAAGACAAAATAGACTAAAAATAAATAAATAAAAAAACTAATTTTTTATCAACTTCCCAAAACACCACTGAATTTCTAAAAGTTTTCAAAAACAAAATAGAGTTAATTACACTCAGGGTTGTTTTAGAAAATTAGTTAAAAATTAGCTTTTTAATTTTTTTAGTTTTTTTTTGAAAAAAAAAATAACGAAATAAAAATCAAAAATTAACTTTTAACCATCTTTCTATATTGGCCTTCAATATTAATACTCCTATATTTTCATTATTTTGGTTTCTTCACTTTTAAAAAATATAAAAATTGACTATGTACAAAACTATATATACAGAAGCCCGTAGCATTGGTCACTCCAATTCACTCAACGCGTTCTAAAAAAAAGGATTTTGCATGTATTTTTGTGTCATTTATTTATTTAATTTTAAATTTATCTACAAATATTTTATTTTTTTAAGTGTATGTAGATTAAGTATATCTAAAAAAAAATTAACTAAAATATGAAAAGTTCACTAACAACAACAAAACATACAAAAACTCAAAATTTGCATTTGAAAATTCAAAACCAAACAAAAATACAATGGTATAAATGATAGGTTAAAATTTTAATTACAAGTGACCGAATAAACAAGTTATAAATAAAATTCTAATTATATTGGTATAGATGCAATTTTATTAAATAATTAATTGATTAAAATGTATAGCATAATGTAGTAGCTTGCTACATTCTGTGCTATTTAGCACAACATCTATTACAGAGTCCTGTTACAGTGTGCAACCCCTTAAGAGTTGCATATCATATGCAAAACACACCTAAAAAAGGTCCTCTATTACACCACTGAAGTGAGTATTTTATGCTATACAAGCTATTTTAACATTACTGCACCAAATACTATACAATTGAAATTACTATTTCTTTTTAAAAAAATTCTCCTTTACTTTATAAAAAATAATGAGTTAATTTTATTTTTATCCCCTAAATTAACTTCATTTTGCCTATTTCATCATTTAACTATTAATTTTATTTATTAGTCTCCAACATTTTTAATTTAAGATAATATGTACTAATTGGAGATGAATGTCTAAATCAATAATTGTTAAACCTTATTTGACGAGTAAAGAGGTCATTTCAAAATTTAAATAATTTAAACCATACTACTAAATAATAATTTTTTTTTCATCACTACTATTTCAAAATAAAAGATGGAGAAGATCTATGTGTGGTTGTAATATAATGTAAATAATAAGTCATTGTTTGGGAAGTGAGTTTGGGTGGGTTTGGGGCTAAAATAGTTAAAAAAATAAAAATAAAATAAGCTTTTTAGCCACAATAAGACAAACAAATCACATCTAACCCATAATCATTATATATTTTTTTTACAAAAAAAGTGAAAAAAGTCAAAAGTCAAAAGTCTTTTCCAAACTAAGTTTTTTAGCCTCAGGGTAAAATATCAAAAAAGTCAAAAAATTTAAAAGCTAACTCACTCACCAAACCAAGCCTAAGATGGGGAATTTGATTGTATGACCTAGATTGTTCAAATTATATAATTATTTTTTTTGTCCATTTAAGTTTCAACAATTACTAATATGGTCATATTCTTTTTAATTGGACTACTTAAGAATAATTTAAAAAATAAAAATGAAATCGAGGCCTTCTGACATAATCGATGACGATTACTCGAAGAAGAGTCTAAGCGATGACGATTATTTTCCCCTTGTACGGATTTGAATACCTCAATATGCCACGAAAAATTATTTAATAATTCGAAATATTATGTGGTCATATTCTAAATTAATCACTAATTACTTAGTTCTCATATTATTCCTCTATTATTAATATAAATTGTGACTCTCTACTCTTTTTTATCAATCAAAATTTTATAAAACATCCTGTATTTATATTCTGAAAATATTAAATAATCAATCATAAATCACTTTTAATAAAATGAAATAATATTATTCGCTATGCTTCTCTTCAGTGCTGTGACTTATTAGGCTTTGTGAGCTCACTTTTAACTCAAATTTTGATACTTCATTGGACGTGACTTATTGGGCTTTGTAAGCTCACTTTTAAGATAAATTTTGATAATTTAAATCGTTAATATTTTAAAGTTAGTTAAGTACATTATTTTTTATAAAATATTATAAAAAATTAAATAAATTGGATATGGAGAATTATATGTTTGGATCAGTTTTATATATGAACCAAAGGTGGAGAGGTGAACTGAAGCTAACATTTCTCAGGCACATTCCATCTTGACAGCAATGGCAGAGGCAATCACTACAACAAAGAGGTGTATTTTTGCTTCTTTTGTAGCATTTGAATTCTCTTTCAGTCACTCTCATTCTAGCTTCAACTTTCACACCCATCAATTGTTTGTGTTATATTGTCTCTGTGTAGGTATGCAGTTGTAACAGGGTCAAATAAAGGAATAGGGTTTGAGATATGTAGGCAGTTAGCTTCTAAGGGAATCATAGTGGTGTTGACTGCTAGAGATGAAAAGAAGGGTTTTGAAGCCCTTGAGAAACTCAAAAGTGATGGCCTCTCTGATCATGTGGTGTTCTGTCAACTTGATGTTGCGGACCCATCTAGTGTTGCTTCCCTTGCTGATTTTATCAAGTCCAAATTTGGAAGGCTTGATATCTTGGTATGATTCACAACCCAATTCTCAAATTTTCTAGTTTTATTCATTTAATTTGTAATTATATTATTCAACAAGAAAGTTAGTTGTGTTTATGGAATGAACTATGCATTTACTTATTAGTGAGAGTCATATATATATAAATAAAGAGGTAAGGCCTTCAATACAAATTTCTAGAAAGATATATTACTTGTTTCCTTGAATGTTTCAGTGGTTTTTTGTGAAATAAATAATGAAAAAGCTCGAATTCTTGTAGGTGAACAATGCTGGGATTCTTGGAGCCAAGATGGATTGGGATTCTTTGCAGTCATCAGAGGCTAGTGTGGTGAGTCTTTATGCATGATTCATTTCATTTTCCCTCAAGTAAATTCAAATTGGTGTGATTGCATTGATGCATACATCTAATGGCCATTGATATGCTATTTTTCTTTCTTTTGTTTCACTAAGTTGCATGATTTTTTCATAAAAAAGTTGTGATCTATACCTAATCTTTAAATTTTTTTGCAGATCACTATTAATATTGAATGATTCCACAGAAAAACAAGAGAGCAAAAGTGCCCTTTTTATTAATATATATATATATATTTGGACAAGGTTTTCCAGATAAACCTTTTGTTGCCTCATGTGTGACAACCTGTAAGATGATTCATGTGCATAATTTACGTGATCAAAAGATCCGAAAAGTAATCATACTCCTTTTCAATAATTCTTTCATGTTTAAAAAAATGAGTCAATATATTTCAGCAGAAAGAAAAAAGTGGTTGAAGAGAGTGGAGAGTGCTCAGGTATAGTTTATAAACTGGGTCAAAATTACCTCAATTGTCTTCCAATTTCATGCTTTGGCTGTTAATCTAAAAATTAAAACAGGGCATGGATTATGCTTTTTAGGTAATAGGTAATAGAAACCACAAGGATTGTTACTGAATGATCTCATTAATGCATTAATGCAGGAAGAAGTCGTGAGCTCAATGAAAAAAATAATGACTCAAAGCTACGAGTTGGGTAATGAATGCTTGCAAACAAACTACTACGGCACAAAAGGGATGATCGAAGCACTCATTCCCCTCCTCCAGCTTTCTGATTCACCAAGGATTGTAAATGTCTCTTCTGGGATGGGGAGGCTAGAGGTATAGAAGTTACCATACCCTCTTTCATAAGTACAAAATTTGCACTCTAATTAAAACAAACTTACACAGACAGCCTTACTAGCTTTCAGTTTTGGATTAAAAAGCAAAAGTTTTAACTATCTCTTACCAAAAGTAATTATCAATGTTGTGGGTGACATTGTGGGTGACATAGTGGTGTTAGCTGAACCCC